GGAAGGCTGAGGTATGAAAATGATGAGTTCAAGGACAGCCTAGGCTAACAGTGAGACCCTGTCTCACAAATGGGGAAGTTTAAAAAAAAGACTACAGAAAAAGACAGAAAGGGGAGACTAGAGGAAGGAAAAGCACATTCCTTCATGAAAAGCTTGGGCCGAGGGCTGTGGAGAAACTTTTAGGTTGTACCTCTAGGACCCATACATAAGAGCAGCTTATCTGCAGGAGTAAAGGAGATACACAGAGGACACTTTTTTTTGTTGTTGTTTTCTTTGAGATGCACTCATTTAGCCTTGACTGACCTCCAACACACTATGTGGCTGAGGACAGCCCTGAACTTCTGGTCCTTGTGCCTGCACCTCCCAAGTGCTGGGATTACAGGTGTGTGTCATCACAGCACTGGGCTCAAATTCAGGGCTTCATGCATGCTAGGCAAACATTCTACCAAATGAGCTCCACCCATGGCCCACTGTGGAGTGCTATTAGAAGGTATACGAAGTTTGTGCAGGGCATTAAGTTCCAAACCAGGATATTTTGTCTTGGTGCCGATGTCTGCCTACATAAACACTAGCAAGTTTGTAAATGTGTGTGCTGGGGTGTGGGTATATCCTGCAGTATTGTAGGGCATGGTTCTAGCTGCTGTGCAAGAGCATTGAAGGCCGAGACGGGGGCTGGAGAGATGATGGCCCAGTGCTTAAGAGCACTGACTACTCTTGCAGAGGGCCCGGGTTTTTTTCCCAGCACCCACATGGCAGCTAACAACTGTCAGTAATCCAGTTCCAGGGGATCTGACACCCTGTTCTGACTTCCACAGGGAAACCCTGTCTCAAAAAGACCAAAAAAAATAAAGTGGGAAAGACTAGAGGCAGATGATTGTTAGGCAAGAAAACAGGTGCTCGGAGAACTGAAGTTTCCCTTTATTTTCTGATGACATCACTATATTGGATCTTCTTGCATACATAGGCCTATTAAACCCAGCACTGGGAATGTAGTTAGAGTACTTAGCATGCATGAGGTTCTGGATTTAATCCTCAGGACCAAAAAGACCAAAACAATAATATATTAACTACCCACACTAGCTGGAAGTACACATTGCTCTTTTTTTTAATAACCCACTGAGTCCAGTTAGCTCTGACTGTTGGAATGTTGACTGATCTCGTAAAAGTGACCTTGTGCAAGTGACCATAACTGCAGTTTCTCTTTGTCTGCAACCAAAGTATATTGTGTCTTCAGCAGTAGGGGCTTATTATCCCATTCTGGTGGGCAACCAAAAGTAATGTCGATGGCCTGTACAATTTGGGGGGTGGGGGGACTCTGGAGCCTCCCTCCCTCATAGGGAGGTATCCCATGGTTTATACTCTGGATGAAGAAACTTAGGCCTAGGAAGGTTATATCAGTTATTGTTGAAAGTGAAATGGTGAATAAACAATAGAACCTGACTTCTAGCCCAGCTCTGTACCACCTCAAAACCCAATCTTGTTTTTTTGGTTTGGTTTGTTTGTTTTTTATTTAAGATAGGGTATCACCATGTAGCCCTGGCTGACCTGGAACTCACTAGGTAGACCAGGCACCACTTGAACTCACAAAGATCAGACATCTGTCTGCCTCTGCCTCCTGAGTGCTGGGATTAAAGGTATGAAACACCACACCTGGCCAAAACCCAATCTCTTGCCACTACCCCAGGTCCAATGTTTGGGGTTTTTTTCTTTTTCTTCTTTTTTGGTCTTTTTGAGACAGGATCTCTCTGTAGCCCCAACAGACCTGGAACTCTATGTAGACCAAGCTGACCTTGAACTTGGCCTCCCAAGTGTTGGGATTAAAGGCGAGTGCTACCATGCCCAGCCTAATGTTTATATTTAAGAAAAAGTGTTTTAGAAGATCGTGATGGGGGGTTGGAGATATGGCTCAGTGGTTAAAAGCACTGGATGCTTTTGCAGAGGACCCGCGTTTGATTCCCAGCACCCACATGGTGGCTAACAACTGTCTGTAACTCCAGTTCCAAGGGATCTGATACCTTCTGACCTCCACAGACATTGCATGACATGGGCACACTTACACACATGGAGGCAATACACTCACACACATAAAATAATAAATGAAATATTAAAAATAGAAAAAAGAAGATTGTGATAACACAGATGTTCCTCAGTTTAGGATTGCTCATATCCAGGTAAACCCATGGTAAGCCGTAAATTGAAAATATATTCAATAAATAAATGAAATTTAAAAATTCAGTAAATTACTGAGCATGGTGGCATATGCTTTTAATCCCAGCACTTGGGAGACAGAGGCAGGTGGATCTCTGAGATTGAGGCCAGCCTAGTCTACATATCGAGTTCCAGGCCAGCTGGGGCTACAGGGAGACCCTATCTCAAAAAAGACAAGAAAAAATAAATAAATCTCCGAGCATAGCTTAGTTTATTGACATAATGCACTACAGATTATCAGTTGTTTCCTGCCATGATTGTATGGCTGACTAGAGCTGCCAGTCCCTGCCTCTGCTCAACATCACAAGAATCATATCACTTTTCACCAGCCTAAGAGAGAGATCAAGATTCAAAGAACAGTTTGTATTCAGTGTGAACCTCTTTAAAGCCATTGTAAAGTAGAAAAATCAGAAGTTGGACCATCTTAAATAGGGTCCATTTGTAAGTCCTACTCAGCCATCTTCTTCCACTCCCCAAAACAGTCTTGCACCCTCAGGTTCACACATACAGGTTCTTAATAGAGGGGTTGAGCTAATTCCTTTGCTCAGTAGCAGTCTGGCCAGCAGCCAAGTGAAGCACACGTTGCTGGGGATGTAGCTCAGTGAGAGAGCGCTTGCCTAGCTTTTGTGGGAGACCCTGGGTTCAGCCACCAGTGATGGGGGGAGGAGGGATTAAGCATAATATTAGTGCCCACCCTAGGAATCAGAACCTGCATGTCAACACCGCTCTCCAGGTGATTTAGAGGATCTAGAGCTTAAGTTTGAGACTATGATAAAGTGACTTCATCAGACTTTTGTAGGCTGTAGATAAAGAACAGTGCACAAAAAGAAAGACTATAGCTGGGCATGATGGCGCACGCCTTTAATCCCAGCACTCAGGAGGCAAAGGCAGGCAGATCTCTGTGAGTTCAAGGCCATCTGGGGCTACAGAGAGACCCTGTCTCAAAAAGACTGAAAAAAAAAGAAGTCAGACTATAAAGGAAGTCTTTATTGAATGCCTGATGTGTATCTGATGGTTTGGCACTTTATTTCATTTATCTTCTCAAGGGATGTATGAAATAAGCCAGTTGTCTCAATTTGAGACAACTGTGTGCGTGTCTGTGTGTGCGCATGCTTATGGAGTCCAGAGAACAGCCTTAGGCTTCATTCCTCAGGTATTGTTCACCATTTTTATGAGTGCATTGTCTGCATGTAAGTGCATTCATGTCATGCAAAGTCTGTGGAGGTCAGAAGCGGGTGTCCAATACCTTGGAACTGGATTTACAGATAGTTGTTAGCTGCCATGTGCTGGGAATCTAACCCAGGTCCTCTGCAAGAGCAAGCAGCCAGTGCTCTTAAACACTGAGCCATGTCTCCAGCCCCACCGTTTTCTTTCTTTCTTTCTTTCTTTCTTTCTTTCTTTCTTTCTTTCTTTCTTTCTTTCTTTTCTTTTCTTTCTTTCCTTTCTTTCTTTCTTTCTCTCTCTCTCTCTCTCTCTCTCTCTCTCTCTCTCTCTCTCTCTCTCTTTCTTTCTTTCTTTTTCAGGGTCTCTCACTGGCCTACAGCTCATCAAGTAGGGTAGAATGGCTGACCTGTGAGCCCCAGGGATCTTCCTGTCTTTGCCTCCCCCTCCCCCCAGTGCAAGTACCACCACACCCAGCTTTCTTTTTTCACATAGGTTCTAGGGATAGAGCTCCAGTAATGGTGCTTGCAAAGCAAGTACTTTACTGGCTGAGCTACTGGCTCAGCCCAGGAAACTGACTCTTGATTCTTCAGGAGTTATATGACTAGTCCCATATCACACAGCTGTTGAGTGCCTTAGACAAAATCAGCCCATCCATGGAACGCACACACAGTCCGTGCCACCATGCCACATCTTCTCTACTGGTGCGTGTTCTTCGTGTAGCTGTAGAGTCTGACCACCTGGAAAAGTGATCGTAATTGAACAGTCAAGTTCTGTCAGCACAGCTGTGATATTTTGATCATTTTTTCCTCATGAGGGATCCTGACCTCTATAAATTGTTCACTCAAGTCAATTTTAACAACCGGAGTAGATCGACAGAAAGCACTGCTCTCTGGTGTATGTCCACAGTGCCTGCTGGTTTTCCATTGAGGTCCTGACCTTCATTTTCCAAGCTGCAGAGTCTTTAATGCCTTCTCATTGAGTTCCATTTTGCTGTGAAGTAATTTCTTCACCTTAGTGGAATCAGTCCATGAATCACAAACCAGAACTTC